TGGCTAGTTCGAACTGAGATGTTAGTTCAAACTGAGATGTGCTGTACGTATAAAATCCACACTGAATTTCAAGGAAAATATATGTGTGAGTTTTGATTGTATTGATTATGTGTTGAAATGATGTTATCTTGGATATATTGACTTAAATAAAATATGTGACTAAGATTAGCTTCACTTGCTTCTTTTTGCTTTTTTATTTATTTCATTTTTTATTATTTTTAATATATTTTTTCTAATATTTTATTTATTTTTGAGAAAGAGAGAGACAGAGCATGAGCAGGGGAGGGGTAGAGAGAGACACACCCATACAGAATCTGAAGCAGGCTCCAGGCTCTGAGCTAGCTGTTAGCACAGAGCCCAACACGGGGCCCCAACCCACCAACCATGAGATCATGACCTGAGCTGAAGTTGGACTCTTAACCAAATGAGCCACCCAGATGCCCCACTTTTTGCCTTTTTAAATGTGTTTATTGAAAATGTAAAATTATACTGAAAATATAAAATGTAAAATGCTCATATTTGTGGCATATATTTTATTGCCAATGGACAGTGCTGCTTTCGATTAGCCACCATGCTTCATTCTGATTGCCTCCAAAGTCTTGATAGCTTAAAATTTTTACCACTATGTGGGATGTTGACTCTTGATAAGTTAAATCTTTTTATTATGTATTTTTGGAAATTCTCAGCAAATTGCCCTATATGTGTCCTGAGACACCCTACTTAGTGGTTGTGTTTCTTCTTAAATTAGAACTGACCAACGATTGTTCTTAAGCAAGGACACCAGTGTCTTTAGGTCTCCTACAAAAAACAGGCTTCATATTTGCAATCAAGTAGGACAATGTGCAGAGACTGTAAATCCTCCATTCAAAGTCCCTTTGATTTAAAAATAGTACAGTACTTGCTTCCTAATTTGTCCCGTCGATGTCCAGAACAGGGCAAAATGAGAGTGTGTTTGGATGTCCACACGGTCTGCCTTGAGTAAAGCTGTTAAAGATATGAGAACAGTCTGTGCCAATGCCAGCAGTCGCCCAGTGTTGCCAGCAGAACTTGATGGTAGATTAGGACAAGCAATCCACTGCTGAGCTCTGAGGCCCTGAAAGTGTTTGAACAATTGAAGAAGCCTTGCTAGGAGCAGTGTGGTTGATACCTGGCATTACAGTTAATGGGTAATTAAAGGAGAACAAAATCTTCTGATAGGATTACATCTCTTGTTGGAGTCCTATGATTTCCACTTCATAACGATCTAGGGAATGAAAGTATGCTCACTTCCAGAGAAGGGACACAATCCAATTTTTGCAGATCTTAACACATTATATTAAGGAAGTAGTCTTTTATTTTATTCTGAGCTTTGATCAGAAATTGGTATTGATAGTTTCAAGTACCTTTTGCCTCTGATTCATTAATTCTAAATTTAAATTAAACATATTAGCTTTTTTCAAATATGAAAAGCTGGAATTATTAGTGTTTTAGGCTTTTCATATCCATTTCTATAGGCAGAATTGTACTGTAATTTTATTTTCAGGTCTTCTTTCCCCCTCTTCTTCAATAAATTATGCAGCTTTCTATTTAATTTTAGGTTCTGGGGTGCTTTATGTAGAACCTGGGGATTATTGTTCCTTGGAAATGTGAAAAATCCAGAAAGCTTCCTGACCCAAGGATTTTTTTAAAATTGCAGTATAATTTATGTAGAGTGCACAAATCTATGTGTACAGCTTTTACACCCATGTAACCACTGCACTAATCTAAATACAGAGAATTTCTATTATCCCAGAAATTTTCCTATGCCCTCTCCTAGTTCGTACCAATACATGTCCAAAGTAACCACTATTCTGGTTTCTATCTTCATATATTAGATTTGCAAGCTCATGAATTTCATGAATGGAATCGGCCAACATTTTTTTGAGTCTGGATTTTTTTACTCAACATAATGCTTTTGATATTTATCCATTATGTTGTTTGAATCATTATAGTTCATTCTTTTTCATTGGTATATAGTACACCATAAAAATGAAAATGCCACAGTTTGTTTATCCATTCTCCTGGACACTTGGGTTTCTCAGTTTTAGCTCTTCTGACTAAGGCCTCTTTGGCAAATTCTATTACACATGCTTTTGAGGACATTTGTTTTCATTTTTTGGGATATTTCAGGAGTGGATTTTCAGGACTATTTTCTGGGTGAGTGAATGTTAAACTTTAAGAACTGCAAACAGTTTGCTAAGTGTTTTTACTGTTTCATATTTTTATCCGGGATATATGAGAATATTAATCACTAAAATTTGATACTGTCAATTTTTTCTTTTTAGTCATTTCAGTGGGTGTGTAGTAGTATCCTATGGTTTTAATTTGCATAATAATGTCAAGCATCTTTTCATATCCTTATTGTTAGCCTAAAGGAATTTATTAGAGATAATTATTTATTTTTTTCAGTTTGTTTCATATTTGTTGGTCTTTGATTTTTTTACTTCTTCTTGAATGTTTATTTTATTAATGGTCTATTCAGATATCATGTATATTTATTATTGAGCCAGGTTTTCAATTTGTTTTTGTTTAGAAAATGTCTCATCCAGATTTAAAATTTATTTGAGACATGCACTTATGAGGTTTTCTTCCCAGTGTACTCTGTCTCTTTCTCTTCCCAAACTCCTGTGGCCCAGTGTCCTACGACTTCAGGCCTTCTCTGTTTGAGAGATGGGTGTAGGAGAAATGTACGGAGCTCCTTACTTCTCTGCCATCTTGCCTCCCACCTAGATTTTCTTTTTCTATGATGACTCTATATGTAGTATTTTCCTTCTGAATAGAGCATCGTTGCTTTGTTTTTTGATATAAAAGTTACTTATTAGATCCTTAATATTCAAGTATATCACATTTTTGTGATCACTTTTTCATTTTACTGCACCACTTTCAGATAATGTGGTCTCTACAACTTCTTTTTTTGGACTATAAGTTCTACAAGAATTTGTGGTACTTTAGTGTCCATCATGGAGTAGGTAGAATAAGTAAATGTGGTGATACCATCAAATACCATCAAATATACAAGTAAAAAACTTGATCTCACAGTGATCAAGATAGACACAGTCCTGGCACTCATGGTGGGTCAACTCTGGAGGCTATATCCTGTTAAGCAGCTCTGGTGATATTTGAGCTCATGACTCCTTATTTAGAAGACTGAGGCTCTAATTGCCTGGCTAGGGAAAAAATGAATGCCAGGCAATGGCTTCAAGGGGTCTGGAGAAACAATAGGAGAATCCCACTTGGTCACCTCTCTTGTTTCCTGAGTAAATATTGGTCATATATGTGTTTTTTCTCTATGAAGTTAACCATTTCATTAAAAATTTTTAAATGTTTACTTATTTTTGAGAGAGAGAGAAAGCACAGCAAAACAGGAGGTGGGGGAAAAGAGAGAGGGAGACACAGAATCTGAAGCAAGCTCCAGACTGAGCTGTCAGCACAGCTCAAGCCCGATACGAGGCTTTAACTTGTGAACTGTGAGATTATGACCTAAGCCAAAGTCAGATGCTCAGCCAGTTGAGCCACCAGGAGTCTCTGAAGTTAACCATTTCATTTAAATCATTAGATTTATTGAAAAAATATTACATATGGTATTTTTAGTTTTTATATTTTTTTTAATGTTTATTTATTTCTAGGAGACAGAGAGAGAGACAGCGTGAGCAGGGGAGGGTCGGAGAGAGAGGGAGTCACAGACTGAAACAGGCTCCAGGCTCTGAGCTGGCAGTCAGCATAGAGCCCGACGCGGGGCTCGAACCCATGAACCGTGAGATCATGACCTAAGCGAAAGTCGGACGCTTAACCAAATAAGCCACCCAGGCACCCCACATATGGTATTTTTTAAAAAAGTTTTACTATCCTCTGAATCAATGTTCGTGTCTGACTTTTCTGCCTTTCTGGTAGCATTGCCAGGTCTGCCATCTCTGTTCTTGGGACCCACTGATCATTCTCTCACCCTTCCTCTGCCTGCACCCCCCACCCACAACTCAAGGAAATCTCTTTCTGGTTTCCTGGGAGGAAGCTTAACTTCACCTCCCAATTCTAGTCAAGATATTTTTTTCTTTACCAGCAAATTCTGTCCTCACTCTGGGGCTCAGGCTTTTGGAAATAAAAGCCAGGAAAACTTGTGGACCATTTCTTGCTCTTCTGCCACATTTTTGTCCTGAGACTAGGAGCACAGAGCTAACTCTCTATCGAATGGGAAGAAGTGAAAGTGAAAAGAGAAGAAACAAAAACGTCTAAGATTAATATCTCAAAAATTATTCTATCCATATTTTTCGAGGCATTCACAACTTGAGAGTTCAAGGCCCCTTTAATTTCCCATTTCTTGAACTGGTTGATTTGCACCACGAGTTTTGTGGTTTCTGGTGCTTTTGTGCACCTCTACCATAGAGAAGGCTTTTGCTGGCCCTTTTGCTGTGTTCTCTGACCAAGAGAAAATGGTTGTGTTTATGGATATTCTGAAGCTGACTGTAGGCATCTCTTTTTAATATCAAATGTGTGAATAAAACACATTTCTTCTCCCATAATGCTTTACTCTCAGAACTCATTTTGTCTGTGTTGCCATCTGTAGGACTTTGTCTCAAACTACCTACTAACCTTCAATGTGTAACTAGTCATGGAAGCACTCCCCACTAAAAGTCAAGCTCCAAAGTTAGACTGTTGGGCTGCAGTCCCAGATCTGTTGTTAATAGGTGTGGGACCTTGGACAAGTTACCCAATGAGTATAAATCTCCACTTTTTAAATCTAAAAAAATGAAGAAAATAGTACCTATCTCATAGGGTTGTTGTGAGGAATAAATGAGTTAATGCATATTACACTTTCATCCCAGTGAAAGAAGTACTGAACTTAACCCTTATGGCTTGTGGGTATTTAATTAAAATATTAAACGTTCTTTTTGAAAATTCTGAAATGTGTATATATGTGTGTATATATACATATATAGTCACACTTTTCATGCAAATTATTTTTAATCTTACAAAGGTAGAACAAAAGCAACATGAAAATGGGAAACCAAAGTGTCATCTCAGAGTTCCTCCTCCTGGGCCTGCCTATTGAGCCAGAGCAGCAAGACCTGTTTTATGCCCTGTTCCTGGCCATGTATCTTATCACCGTATTGGGGAATCTCCTCATAATATTTCTTATTCACCTGGACTCCCACCTGCACACACCCATGTATTTGTTTCTCAGTAACTTGTCCTTCTCTGACCTCTGCTTCTCCTCTGTCACAATGCCCAAACTGCTGCAGAACATGAAGAGCCAAGTCCTGTCCATCCCCTATGCCGGCTGCCTGGCCCAGATGTACTTCTTCTTGCTTTTTGCGGACCTAGAGAGTTTCCTCCTGGTAGCCATGGCCTATGACCGCTATGTGGCCATTTGCTTTCCCCTGCACTACACCACCATCATGAGCCCCAAGCTCTGTCTCTCCTTGGTGGTGCTGTCCTGGGTCCTGACCACTTTTATCTCTTTATTGCACACCCTACTCATGGCTCGCCTGTCCTTCTGTGCTGATAATGTGATTCCTCACTTTTTCTGTGACATGTCAGCTCTGCTAAAGTTGGCCTGCTCTGACATTCATTTAAATGAAATGGTGATATTTATTTTGGGGGGTCTTGTCGTTATTGTTCCATTTCTGTTGATCTTTTTATCCTATGCACGGATTGTGTCCTCCATCCTCAAGGTCCCTTCTGCCAGGGGCATCCGCAAGGCCTTCTCCACCTGTGGCTCTCACCTCTCCGTGGTCTCTCTCTTTTATGGGACAATCATTGGTCTCTACTTGTGCCCTTCAGATAACAATTCTACTGTCAAGGAGACTGTCATGGCTGTGATGTACACTGTGGTCACCCCCATGCTGAACCCCTTTATTTACAGCCTGAGGAACCAGGACATAAAGGGAGCCTTAGGAAGAATCTTTTCAAAATGGACAATTCAGCTTTCTCTGGGATAGGAACTCTAAAGATTAATGTATGTTTTCAAACAGTAGGTGTAATATTGACAATGAGTAGTATTCTTTAAAGTCTAGTAAGCACCTAAGCTACTGCAGCCCTAATAGCACTTCCATGGGATTTTCCCATTGTCAGTAAGGGTGGGTCCATCTCACGTCTTGGATTTACCACAGAATCTGGGAGGTGATGTAGCACAAGGACTGGCATGTAGTGGACACCTAGTAATTATTATTCAAATTTGGATAAATATCACTCTAACCTTGGTGTTTACTACACTCAAAGAAAGTACAGTAGTTTCTAATTCTCTAAGAAATAAATCCAAATTTCTCAGTCCCTTCAGTGTTTTGCTTTTGCCAAACATGTTTATTACATGAAGAATGTCTTCTAGTTTATTATGTACATGCTTTTGTAATTTTTTACTCCCCAAAGATCGTCATTTATTCTATTGCTTATATTACTTATTTCAGGTGTTGGTTGATTCACTGCTTTAATGACCATACTCTAAAATTATTTCTTTTTCCTTTGATTTACCAATCACTTGTCAGTTAATGACAGATTGCTTCTTTTGATAATATATTTGGATGAGAATATCTCTTTTGAATTAAAATCATATTATATACAATGAACCATATGATTCTCTTATGAATAGTTGAATTTATAGACAGTAAAATGGTGGCCCATATATAGCCTAAAGTAGCACAAATAGTGACAGAAAGGTTAGAATCTATTTACGACTCCCAGGTAGATTTTTTTCCTCTGAAATGTTATGCAGAAATTGTGATGCTTTCTTTGTTTACTTCTTTTCTAGTATATTATAAGTGTCTTGAAGACAGGTGCTCTCTAATCTCTTCAATGACTAGTTCATTGCTAGATGTACAATAATAACTGATTTGATTTGAATACATTTTCTTTTTTTTTTTTTTTTTTTTACAAATAGTTTATTGTCAAATTAGTTTCTACATAACACTCAGTGCTCATCCCCAAAGTGCCCTCCTTCATGCCCATCCCCCCCTCCCCCCCACATCCATCAGTCCTCAGTTTTTGTCAGCATTCAAGAGTCTCTCATGGTTTGCCTCTCTCCCTTTCCCCCACCATTTCCGCCCTTCTTCTCCCCCTTGTTCCTCCGTCAAGTTCCTCCTAATCCTCCTATACGTGCAAACATATGGTATTTGTCCTTCTCTGCCTGACTTATTTCGCTCAGCATAACACCCTCAAGGTCCATCCATGTTGCTACACATGGCCAGATTTCATTGTTTCTCATTGCCATGTAGTATTCCATGGTATAGATAAACCACATCTTCTTGATCCATTCATCTGTTGATGGACACTTAGGCTCTTTCCATGTTTTAGCTATTGTGGAGAGTGCTGCTATGAACATTGGGGTACATGTGCTCCTATGCCTCAGCATTTCTGTATCCCTTGGGTAAATTCCTAGCAGTGCTATTGCTGGGTCATAAGGGAGTTCTATTGTTAGTTTCCTGAGGAACCTCCACACTGTTTTCCAGAGGGGCTGTACCAGTTTACATTCCCACCAACAGTGTAGGAGGGTGCCCGTTTCTCCACATCCTCGCCAGCATCTAGAGTTCTCTGATTTGCTCATTTTAGCCACTCTGACTGGCGTGAGGTGGTATCTCAGTGTGGTTTTGATTTGTATTTCCCTGATGAGGAGGGATGCTGAGCATCGTTTCATGTGTCTGTTGGCCATCTGGATGTCCTCTTTGGAGAAGTGTCTGTTCATGTCTTCTGCCCATTTCTTCACTGGGTTGTTTGTTTTTCGGGCGTGTAGTTTGGTGAGTTCCTTATAGATTCTGGATATTAACCCTTTATCTGATATGTCATTTGCAACTATCTTTTCCCATTCCGTTGGTTGCCTATTAATTTTCTGGGTTGTTTCCTTGGCTGTGCAGAAGCTTTTAATCTTGATGAGGTCCCAACAGTTTATTTTTGCTCTTGATTCCCTTGCTTTTGGGGATGTGTCAAGTAAGAAGTTGCTGCGGTGGAGGTCAAGGAGGTTGTTTCCTGCTTTCTCCTCTAGGGTGTTGATAGTTTCCTGTCTCACGTTCAGGTCCTTTATCCATTTTGAGTTGATTTTTGTGCATGGTGTGAGAAAATGATCTAGTTTCATTCTTCTGCATGTTGCTGTCCAGTTCTCCCAACACCATCTGTTAAAAAGGCTGTCTTTTTTCCATTGGATATTCTTTCCTGCTTTGTCAAAGATCAGTTGGCTGTATACTTTTGGGTCCACTTCTGAGTTCTCAATTCTGTTCCATTGGTCTATGTGTCTGTTTTTGTGCCAATACCATACTGTCTTGAGGATGACAGCTTTGTAGTAGAGGCTGAAGTCTGGGATGGTGATACCTCCCGTTTTGGTTTTATTTTTCAGTATTACTTTGGCTATTCGGGGTCTTTTGTGGTTCCATACAAATTTTTGGATAGTTTGTTCTAGTTTTGAGAAGTATGCTGGTGCAATTTTGATTGGAATTGCATTGAATGTGTAGAGTGCTTTAGGTAGTAATGACATCTTAACTATATTTATTCTTCCTATCCATGAGCATGGAATGTTTTTCCATTTCTTTGTGTCTTCTTCAATTTCCTTCATAAGTTTTCTATAGTTTTCATCATACAGATCTCTTGTATCCTTGGTTAGGTTTATTCCGAGGTATTTTATGGTTTTTTGTGCAATTGTGAATGGGATCAGTTTCTTGATTTCTCTTTCTGTTGCTTCATTATTGGTGTATAAAAATGCAACCGATTTCTGTACGTTGATTTTGTACCCTGCAACTTGGCTGAATTCTTGGATCAGTTCTAGTAGGCTTCTGGTGGAGTCTGTCGGGTTTTCTATGTAGAGTATCATGTCATCTGCGAAGAGTGAAAGTTTGACTTCCTCTTTGCCAATTCTGATGCCTTTGATTTCCTTTTGTTGTCTGATGGCTGATGCTAGGACTTCCAGCACTATGTTAAACAACAGTGGTGAGAGTGGACATCCCTGTCGTGTTCCTGATCTCAGGGGGAAAGCTCTCAGTTTTTCCCCGTTGAGGATGATGTTAGCTGAAGGCTTCTCATAGATGGCTTTGATGATGTTTAAGTAGGTTCCTTCTATCCCAACTTTCTCGAGAGTCTTTATTAAGAAGGGATGCTGTATTTTGTCAAATGCTTTTTCTGCATCTATTGACAGGATCATATGGTTTTTATCTTTTCTTTTATTGATATGATGGATCACATTGATTGATTTGCGAATGTTGAACCAGCCCTGTAACCCAGGAATGAATCCCACTTGATCTTGGTGGATGATTCTTTTGATATGCTGCTGGATTCGATTTGCAAGGATCTTGTTGAGAATTTTTGCATCCGTATTCATCAAGGATATTGGCCTATAGTTCTCTTTTTTTGTTGGATCTCTGTCTGGCTTGGGAATCAGAGTGATGCTGGCTTCATAAAATGAGTCCGGGAGTTTTCCTTCGACTTCTATTTTTTGGAATAGCTTGAGAAGAATTGGGATTAATTCTGTTTTAAATGTCTGGTAGAATTCCCCAGGGAAACCATCAGGTCCAGGGCTCTTATTTGTTGGGAGATTTTTGATCACTGATTCGATTTCTTCACTCGTTATGGGTCTGTTCAGGTTTTCTATTTCTTCCCGTGTGAATTTTGGTAGTGAGTGTGTGTTTAGGAATTTGTCCATTTCTTCTAAGTTGTCCAATTTGTTGGCATATAATTTTTCATAGTATTCCCTGATAATTGCTTGTATTTCTGAGGGGTTGGTTGTAATAAGTCCATTTTCATTCATAATTTTGTCTATTTGGGTGCTCTCTCTTTTCTTTTTGATAAGCCTGGCTAGAGGTTTGTCAATTTTGTTTACTTTTTCAAAAAACCAACTCTTGGTTTCATTGATCTGTTCAATTGTTTCTTTGGTCTCTATGTTGTTTATTTCTGCTCTAATTTTTACTATTTCTCTTCTTCTACTGGGTTTAGGGCGTTCTTGTTGCTCTGCCTCTAGCTCCTTTAGGTGAGCTGTTAGATTTTGGACTTGTGCTTTTTCTAATCTCTTGAAATAGGCCTGGAGAGCAATGTACTTTCCTCTTAGGACTGCCTTGGCCGCATCCCATAGATTTTGAATTGTTGTGTTTTCATTTTCATTTGTTTCCATATATTTTTTAATTTCCTCTCTAATTGCCTGATTGGCCCATTCATTCTTTAGAAGGGTGTTCTTTAACCTCCATGTTTTTGGCGGTTTTCCAGACTTCTTCCTGTAATTGATTTCAAGTTTCAAAGCATTGTGATCTGACAGTGTGCATGGTATGATCTCTATTCTTTTATATTTATTGAGGGCTGCTTTATGTCCCAGTATGTGATCTATCTTGGAGAATGTGCCATGCGCACTTGAGAAGAAAGTAAATTCCCTGGCCTCAGGATGTAAAGTTCTAAATATATCCGTCAGATCCATCTGGTCCAATGTGTCTTTCAAGTCCATTATTTCTTTAGTGATTTTCTGTCTGGTTGACCTATCCATTGCTGTAAGCGGAGTATTAAAGTCCCCTGCTATTAGCACATTCTTATCTATAAGCTTGTTTCTGTTTGTGATTAATTGTTTTAGATATTTAGGTGCTCCCATATTCGGTGCGTAGACATTTATGATTGTTAGTTCTTCCTGATGGATGGACCCTGTAATTATTATGTAGTGCCCTTCTTCATCTCTTGTGATTGTCTTTAATTTAAAGTCCAGTTTGTCTGATATAAGTATCGCTACTCCGGCTTTCTTTTGATTTCCTGTAGCATGATATATATTTCTCCATCCCCTTACTTTTAATCTGAAGGTATCTTCCCGTCTAAAATGAGTTTCTTGTAGACAGCATATTGATGGATTTTGTTTCTTAATCCATTCTGCTACCCTATGTCTTTTGATTGGAGCATTCAGCCCATTTACATTCAGTGTTATTATTGAAATATGTGGGTTTAGAGTCTTTGTATCTTTTGTAGGGTTCATGTTTGTGGTGGTGTCTCTGGT